TTTTGGTCCAGACGGCTCTCCGGTATGTGACTAAAGCCAACAAAGGTTATTGACGGAGAATAACGCTTACATTGTTGTTTATGAACTATACAAGTTTTCCGCAAGAACTGACCAAGGTCATGGAACATTTTATTATCCTTATAACATGAATGAAAATATTGATAAAACTGAGTTGACACATTCATACAAATCTGTAATTAAATCAAATCAAAATTAAGAAATTATGGGAAGGATAAGGAAACAATGTTCTGTAATATATCATGTAAGCTTACACATCTCTGCGACCTACGCACACACACACACAACAACCACACACACACACACACACACACACACACACACACACACACACACACACACACACCACACACACACACACACACACAAACGTTACACAGCCCATTACATAATCGCACAGATGGAAGGAAGGAAGAAACGCACATCCAAACCCCGAGCGCATCCACACCATCAGATATCGTCCAGGTTGCGCCACACTAAAAGTCTAGGACGAGGAGAGATGCAAGTCGACACTCGCTCTCAAGTTCTAGATAACAAGTGTGCTTGGTCTTTAATGCTAGTCGTATATCAACGGACTGAAACGATGGAACTGCCGATCGAACTGATAGTATCAAACGTAAACACAGATAAACTGTGTCCGATTGAGGTTTACGTCGAGAGAGCATGCCCAATACGAAACAAATTGGACAAGAACTATTTGATCAGAGAATGACTGCATCAAACAGAGCCAGTAATATCCACATTTCTAAATATACAAAGCCAGTAGATATACTATCACACCACATGCACGCACGCACGCACACATTCTCCCCCCCCTCTCTCTCTCTCTCTCTCTCTCCTCTCTCTCTCTCTCTCTCTCTCTCTCTCTCTCCTCTCTCTCTCTCTCTCTCTCTCTTCTCCTCTCTCTCTCTCTCTACATGCATACAAAGATATTACACCAAAGATGGAGAGCGAGACAGAATACACCTGCTGTAATGCATTCAGGAAAGCAACGAAAACAAAGTAATAAACATGAGCACAAGCGAGAACAAAACTCATCTTTACATACAATGTGCGCGCGAGGCTCCGAGCGCCGCGCTCCGGCCCGCGAGGCAGCGAGGGCCATCATCGCCGCCTCAACTTTGTAAGACTATCGCGCGCCCCACTTGAGACCCTTGACCCCTGACGACCCCGGACCAGAGGCTCACAACCCCGGATTAACCCTTTGTTGCCGGCGGTCAAAAGTACTCGCCCCGACCCGCCATCGACGTGGCACTGGAAACGACGACCCCCTGTACCCGCACGGACATCTGAACGACCACTCGCGGGAGATCTTTTATTACGGTCGCAACGTTCGAAAACCAACACGCGAAGCCCACGCCGAGAACCAGTATGAGCCGGTCGTAAGTGTGATTCGCCGAAGTCACGATTAAGACGCCGAGAGCCTGCGTGAAGAGCCTGTATACTTCTCCGCTATCGAAGGGCAGCGCGAGCCAAGGAGAGAGACTGCATAAGGCGAGAAGAAATCGAGAAGATAATGTGCCGAACAAGATAAGCAATATTGATATAGGACGACAAACAAGTCGCCGGGAATTGTACATCGCCAAGAGTTCAATTGCGAGTCGCCCTGGCCTTGACAAAATGAAAGTGAAAAAAAATCAATACCCCAAAAATATTGAATCACCGCAGGCTTCACAATAAAATGTTTCTATCTGTTTTCAACGTACAGCTAAACGTGATACAAGACAAAAAAAATAGAAAATAAAATTTTTGCATCAAGAAAGTATACACATCATATATGAATTATATATATATATATATATATATATATATATATATATATATATATATATATATATATATATTATATACCCATCTACGACCAAGAAAATGTTTTTCTAATATTCTTTCCCTAAAAAGAGCTTATTCACCAAAGCTGAGAGAGCAGAATCCGCCGAATTCTTAGCGCTGAACACGAAAAAGAAAGATAAACCTCGCTTTAATTATACGAACCCCCATAATTTGCAATAAAACCATAAAGCCATAATGATAACGGGGTACGCATATATTTTATACAATGCGGCGGTAGTTTCCGAATACATGCAAGTCACCTGCGGCCAAGCTCACCTGGCGACCCCAGCAGGTGAGAGAACCTGGCCAGCATGGGTGTGTCAACCTCGAAGAGAACGAGCAATAAAAAAGACATAAAGGAACTGTCAGAATTGAAGGATAAAAATAAATAAAGATATAAAATAAGAATTTACTAAAAACAAAGAGATCTAAAGAAGTGACGATATATACTTGGCGCTCATTTGACTCGACTCCCCCAGTAAATTATAAAACGTCATAAGTTCTTCGAAAAAAAAAACAAAAAAGAAAAAACATTACACACACACACATATACAACGAAGGTTCATCACCAGTTTCAAATGTCTAATTGAAACGACTTCCATAATGCAGCTGCACTGATTCTTCCCAATCGAAATAGTGTAAGAAGCCCAAG